AATATTCCACCTGGAAAATTATTTGTTATATTATTGTAATATATCAATTGATATGGATATGAATAAATATGACATTGACTATATTCTTTTTCTTTGAAATAATCAATAGAAGAAATAATTTGTTTATTTTTAAAATCTTTGAATGTTTCTTGAATATATTCATTAGATGGTAAATTAAATTTAGTATAAAAACGTGTTTTTGAATGAATATTAAATGTAAATTTGTTTAACAATGGCATATAATTTATAATATTTAACTTCAAATTATTACCATCAATAAGTGTTTTCTTTGTCCAAACTATAAGAACCAAATCAAGTTTTTCTAAATTCGACATTCGATGTAAAAGTGGTAAAATTAATTCATCATAAAAACTTGTATCGATATAACAATGCAGTTTAAACGATTTTAGATTAGGAAGTTTTTCCTAAAAATGAGAATAAATGTAATTCATTTAAATAGATTAAAGATTAAGCAAAATACTGTACCTTATTATTGATTATCAAACGCGAAGAAGTAATGAAGTCAATATTAGCATGAAATGTATGAAGCTGATTGAAACGTCCATCAAGTAAATAAAGGCAATCGCTAAAATTAACCAAACAAACATATAGTTCTAACAGAGTCGAAGAAATAACAGTTGGAGGTGATCTATCAAAGCATAAATATTGATACCAAATTGAAGATGGACCAATATTTAATGTTTGTAAATTAGTAAATATATTAAATATATGAGTAAATAAAACTATATTTTCATCTCGTGCTGGATTTTCTTCTCCACTTGCTTTAATATCGATAACAAGTGATGAAATTTGTTTTTTGTAGGTAGAAGTGAAAAGACGTTCATCTACAGTAGAAAAAAAATTAGAAAAATTATTGAAAATATTTTATTAAAGCTTATATTTTTCTTTAACTTTAAGTATTTATTTTTTTTTTGTAATAACACTGAAATTTACATTTGTGATGATCTTGTTCTTTTTAAAACTAGTCAACAAAGTACATTTTATCATAGATGTTACCTTTTATCATAGTCATCAATCCTCATCATCTATTTTATTATATATTTTCTTTCTCACAAATGTATGCTTAAAAGTTTAATTTGAAGACATAATATCAAGCTTATTTTAATATTTTTTTTTTCTAGAAACATTTCTATTCTATTCTATGTGAAATAGTCTCTTTGATAATAGTTATAAATTAATTCAAATGAATTCATTTGACATATAGTTATAATGTATTTATCAGCGCGAAAGAATCGCAGGCAAATATCTTACCAGAAAATAGATGTACAGCATTTTCTAAGTGAATATTATACAAAGCAATTCCAACTAAATTAGGATAACTTGTAGAAAGAAGAATACGTTCCATCGATGATGATTCAAGATCAAGCCATTTGACTTTTTGATGAATTTTAGATAAGATATGTGAACAAAAACGATCAAGTACTAAATCAGATAATGGATAAGCAAAATATATTGGAGAATATATTTGCAAAATTAAACGACTTGGTACAAAATTTGCCAAAGTCAAACGATTGGTAAAAATAGAGTCATGTACTATTTTATTTAAACGTATATTAACATCTGATAAAGAATAAAGTAGTGTAATATTATGTAATTTTTTAAAAATCATCATAAGAATTTCATCAGGTAAATCATTCAATTGAACAGATGAATTTTCCATGTTCATCTTCACTTGTCTATTCTTTTTCATCTATAAATGTCGATATTTATAGAAATAATCATATGTTCTGCTTGACCGATGTCGTCAATAACAACAATAATTTTTTTTTTCTATACTCTTAGAGGCGAAATAGACTAGCCGAAATAAAACTGAATTAAGAAATGTGATTCGTGTTTTTTTACGTAGCAACACCAATCACATTCCTTAATTCAGTTTTTTTATTTCGTCTAGTCTGTTTGGGGCCTTAATGAACAATGAGGGTGTGAGTGTGAGTGTGGGTGAGTGTGGGTGTGGGTGTGGGTGGGGTGTGGGTGTAGGTGGGGTGTGGGTGTGGGTGTGGATGGGTGTGGGTTTGGATAAATTTAAGATTAATACCCACGCACACAGCCACACCCACCCACACCCACACCCACATCCACACCCCACACCCCCACCCACACCCACCCACATCCACACTCCACACCCACCCACACCCTCTGTGAAACTGCTCTATTGCCCCCTTTATCATAAATTGCTAGTAACATGTGTGAAAAACAGAATAGAAAGAAAAACAGTAGTTATTCTTCCATAAAATGTGTAAGAATATTAGCGGTTTTTCCCTCTTTTTTTAAGTTTTAGACGCAGAAAACTTCTTCAAAATTTCGCTTAGAGCCCTGAAAAATTGTTTTCTGTAGGTTTGACGATGCACTCGTTTATTTGGACGGGTTAAAAAAATTTTTAGTAAAAATTGTATTTTGGTTGAAAAACCAACATCTTTAAGAAACGGGTCTTTAAATCGAAAGCGGGCAAAAACCATTGTGATATTCGGAATCAGCACGTTCGATTACCTATTGCCAGATGAGTTTCAGCTCAAAAGTGAGGGAGCAGTTGGTGGTCTTCCCTCGTAAGAGCGATATTATCAAACCGATCGATCACTTGACAATATTCAGTTTCTATATTCGTTAGTTCGTTCAACTGATCTCTTTACTATATCAATCAACACTATGAAGACTTCTCAATGGAAATTTACGTGATGTTCCATAAGATGTTCAGTAGTCAACTAAAAAGTTTTCTTTTAGTTTTTTTTCTCTTAGTAATTGTACGAGTTCTTTGTCCACATCTATGTGAATAACGTTGTACAAGAACAACACATTTCTTTGTCGTTCTTCTCTTTTACCATGACAATACCAGCTCAACTGTGATGTTGGTGCACGAAAGGAAGAAACGAATTCTTTTTTTTCTCTGGTTGTTAAGAGAAAAGGCAGCAAACGAGTCCAACATCAGTTTCTTTCTCATTTGTTTACCTATCTGCAACAAGTATCGAGTCGTAATGAGCAAAGAACACGGCACTTTAAAAGTAACTATTGTCGAAGGTCGTAATTTGAAAGATGAAGACGTCGTTGGCAAGAACGATGCCTATGTTGAAGTTTACTTGGACAAAGACTACAAACAACGAACGAAAACCATTCGAAATTCAAATAACCCAAAATGGGATGAAAAATTTACTTTGTAAGTTCAGACATCACACTATGAGTTTCAATTAATTGATTTTTTTATTTTATCTCAGTAATTTGCAAAGAGATCATGATGATTTACATCTGCATGTATACGACGATGATACAGTAGGTAAAGATTCCATTGGTTCGGCGAAGATTGATTTGAGAAAACATGACTTCGCGAAAGGTGCTTATGATGAATGGGTTAAGCTACCAGCCCTGTTAGGTCTCCGTTCCAAAGGTGAAATCCATGTTATCATTGACCATCATGTAAATAATCTCTTTAATTTCCTCTCTTTTTAAAGTTTAATCATAATGTTTGTTTTGTATTTTAGACGTGAAACACAATTCTCAAAGGGACTCTTTAACTTTATCATTTATAATCTTCTTTTTAAACCAGCATGACTACGATTCCATGATTAGATTTCAAAGTATCAAAACGTAAAACTTCTAGTTTTTTAGAAATAAATTAACTCATAATTATATATCGCTTTTGATATAAAAAATAAAATGAATGATTTACTACAGTTTTTAAATATCCAATGTTTCGATTTCTCTGTGTGAATGACGTTTATTAGTGTCTGTGGACAGCTAATGTTGCTTGCTTCAACAGCAAATGACCCATGAGCTCAGGCGTATTTTTACTTTAGAAAAAGTATCCAGATGAAAAACGTTGTACCAAAGATAGGACTCTGGAATGAAAAACTTTTTCGTCATGTTAGCCTCAATAACGTTGCGAACATTGACGCTAACCTTCTAGGCTGACGGAATGTCCCTACGCGCTACCTTCTTGAGGGTGAAGGGGAGACCGGCTGCCATGAATGTTTTCAATCCAGCAACGGATCTCATCAGATGGCTTTATTCCCTTTTCTGAAAGAAAGGGTTATACGCAGCTTAAAGTTTTGTCTGTTTGTCTAAGCCAATAAGATGAGAGCTCAAAGGTCAGAAAAACAAAAAGTCGAAATGATGACCTAACGCGTGGCCTGTAACTAACACACATCGCGCTTAGGACTCTAATTGGTACGAACAAAGCCAATCAGGTTATTTGAATGACGGGAGGAGGCAGTGATTTCGACCAGTCAGATGTGAGAAGGGAGGTGTGACAACACAGTGTATCGGGTGTGGGTGTGGGTGGGTGTGGGTGTGAGTGTGGGTGTGGGTGTGGGTG